GCATCTTCTCCAAAGGTCTTCCAGGCAGAGCAGGCACCAGGAAGGTTGTTCAGTTGAACTCTAGACCTCTCATGCCTTTAGAAAGAGGTGAAAAGATCACGTCTGGTCTTGGTTTGCAGTGCTGATGTTTACGTGGGCATGCCATTAAAAAGGTGCTCTGCCCGCAAGCCAATGTTTAAAGGTTAGGGTCAGAGTCATTTCCAAAACTGCGATTACCTCATGTGCTTGGCAAATTCTGGTTTTTATAGCAACTTTCCAGTCATGTAAATACAAAATCATCTTTTTTACCCAGCGTGCTTTTAAAATAATTTTTTAAAGCTGCCAAATTTGTTTTATGTGACTTTGAAAGAGAAGGGTGCCTCTGGCTTAGACCACGCATGCCAAGTTACCAATTTGTGTAGGCTGCTCCAATGTTTGTGCAGCATTTACGGCACTCGAGATGAAAGGTTCTACAGAAGGGCAAAGTACCCTGCTTTTTATTATTGCTACTTTTGTCTACTTCTTAAAATGGGGTTAGGACTGGGCTGACGCTTTCAGTCTAGTGATGGCACCACGTAGCAGAACCCCAGTGTGTGGGCTGGAAGCAGAGACCAGACCAACATCCTGAGAGTCAGGAAAACACAGGAGATTTAAAGTCACTGAGGTTTTGGGGATGGCGGCTGCCTTGCCACTCTGTGCGGATGGGACGGGCAGCAAAGCCTCCAAGGACACATCGCGCTGGGAGCTCCATCTCCTCCGACCTCCATCTACGCTGGGAGAGGTGCCCAGGGGAGCCGCAGGGAGCAGGAGCAGTCCTGTCTGCACAGCCCAGCAGATGTAGGTCAGCGGAATGCCGTCCTGAGCTATTTTGGCCACAGCAGCAATAATCCCGAGTAGTCTGAGCGGTGTTTGTGTTACCATCCCCAAGCGTGCATCCAGTCCTGCGTGCTCAGTGCGCACCAGGAGCGTGCTGATGGTGACCTGGGTCTGCTGCCATGGGCCTGGGATGTTCTGCCTTGCCTGGAGCTTACCAATGACTCCTCAAGTCAGCGGTGCTGTGGGAAGGGCCATCCCCTCTCAAAGCCCGGGGACAGGTTTCTTCAGCACCAAGGGCCTGAGCTAGAACCTGCGCCCTCCTTGTAACTGCGGGCTGGCCCCATCCAGCCTTTCCAAGTGCCTTTTGCTCCTTCGCCAGTCTCAGCGTGTGGCTGCATGCCAAGAGAGCTGGTGGTCAGAGCAAAGGATGCTCCTGAGGGCCCTGGGTGTTAATTCGGCAGGTCCATCCAGGCTCTGCAGATACGGGCTGTTGGGCCTGCCCATGCTGGCAGGTGGGCTGATACTCAGCAGGTCGCTTGTATTTTTGCACAGCAGGTTGAAGCCCCAGAAGAGACCAGGCAGCGGCACGTCCCAGCCATGTGAGAACATTGTGGTCGCTTACTACTTCTGCGGAGAGCCGATCCCTTACCGCACCCTTGTCAAAGGGCGCGTGGTAACGCTGGGACAGTTCAAGGAGCTGCTGACCAAGAAAGGGAACTACAGGTAAGGGCATCTCCCCGTGTGCGGTATGGTGCCAGCAGACTGTCAGTGACCCCTGGCAGATGCCGCTGCCAGGATGCAGTGGTGTTGCCCCCACCAAGGCAAAGGAGCGTGATGGAGGTAGGTCAGGGGCTCCTGGAGGTCCCAACAGCCTTCCAGGGGGGCTCTTGCGAGGCATGCTACACTGGCAATGTGGCAGTAGAGCCATGGCTGTTGAAGAGGGAGGTTACAGGGATGGGGCAGATTGGGTTTTGTACCAGAAATGTCCTGCATCATGGTTTGCACCTTCAGCGGAAGCTGCTGAGCTGCCTGCAGGGTACTGTGAGGTCCTGGGCTATTGAGGAGCAGCAGCAGACGGTTCTCAGTCATGCTGTGAGGAGCCCTCCAATTTCCAGAGCCATTTCAGCTCCTCACAAACTTTCCACCAGTGAGGACAGGGAGTTTGGGTCCTGCCGGAGTCCCAAAGTAGCCAGGCATGGGGCGTGTAGCTCTTCCAAGTTCCCCCTTCGAAGTAGCAGCTGCCATGGCAAAGCCTGTACGGGCGCCTCCAGCCACTACTTTTGGAAAAGCTCTGAATGGGCTTGGGTTCAGGGCTGGAGCTCCTAAACGTGCCAGCACGGATCCTGACCACTCTTTTTGCTCACTGGGTGAGGGCAGGGGAAAAAGTGTGGCTGCAGTTGCCTCCACATGCACCATGAGCTCAGGGGCTTGGAAGGGCTGTACCCACATTTGGGGACTGCGGTGCCCCCATGACCATTCACCTGCTCTTTTTTTTCCTTTCTGCCCCCATGTTTTGGGTTTTTCAGGTATTACTTTAAGAAAGTGAGTGACGAGTTCGACTGTGGTGTGGTCTTCGAGGAGGTGCGGGAGGATGACACCATCCTGCCCATCTTCGAAGAGAAGATCATCGGGAAGGTGGAAAAGATCGACTAAGCTCCAGGGCTGCCGAGGTGTGAGGACAGGACTGTGAAAGACTCTGGGACCGGAGGAGAGGGCCTGGGGCAGATGCTGGCAGTGCTACTGCCGCAGGTGCCGCGCGAGCCCAGGGCAGAGGGCGGCAGCCTGCTCCGGCACGGACCTGGGCAAGCTCTAGGTTGCCGGTGGACATCGTTTCACCTCGCAAACCTGCCAGTGGGAGCCTGGGCTCCCCTCTCCATACCGAATATAAGTGTAATGTAGCATTGTACAGTGCATTAGAAAGTGTAATATGACCTTGTTTACTAAAGCTGCATATTTTTGATATATTGTAATAAAAGGAAAATATTTCCAATGTCACAGTGCTCTTATGTAAATGTAAAACATACAGGTACTGCAGAACTCGCCCAAAGTGTACAGCCATCCGTCAGACTCCGTCTGCTCCTCGCTTTCACAGCACCCTGCCCCGGCCCCCAGTCGTGGATGGCTTCGGAGCGCTGCCGGGGCAGAACCGCTCTCCCCCCGCCGGCGTGGAAGGGGTGACTCCACTCCGGAGGGGCTGTGGTTCCAGCTCACCTCAGAAGATTATTGAGCCATTTGGAACGAGTCGGGGTCTCGCCTCCCTGGCAGTCTCAGCTGCTGGACATGGTAGGATGGGTTTTTTTTCCTCCTGAGCTTTCTTGTGACCGAGTAAATCCCCGAGGGACAGAAGGGTCAGGGCCAGCTCTCGGGGCTGGGGGCTTCCCACAGTGCAAGGGCTGGCTCGGAGCCGGGGCAGCAGGCTGGGTGCTGGCATCCCACAGCCCCTCGTGTTCATCCCCCCACCCCATGTGCCCCTGGAGAAGGGTTCGCTTCCCAGGAGGGTGCTGTGGGTCCGCAGAGGGCTGGCACCCATGTGCCTGGCGCAGACGTGCCCAGGCCCCTGGTGCCAAGCTCTGGCTTTGGTCAGGGGACTCTTTTTAGGAGAAACATAATAGAGCAGGGAACTGATTAGACACTAAAACTGAGGACAAGAAATGTCTTTTTAGGAGTTCTGTGTCCTTTGGTGGATTCTGTGTCTCAGGGGAGGCAGCATGAGGGCACTGCAGCCTGCTGCCAAGAGCAAGGGGGGGTGTTGATGCCAGTTTGTGGAGCTTGTGTAGGGCCAGGTCACCCAGCGGGGCAGCCGGGGTCTCCTGGGCTTACTCGGATGCAAGAAAGCTGGGGGCTGCGCGGGTGCTCCCACCACCCTGCCCTCTGCTCTGCCTGTCCCCTAGCCTGGGCCCTACCCTGCTCCAGCACGGCTGCAGGTCTGTGCCGGCTCCTCTGGAGTCCAGCCCTCGCCTGCCCACAGAAACCAGGGCAGCCCCCAAAGCCAAGGGGCTTCCATGTCAGCGCTCGCCCTGCCCTGCTCACAGCAGTTGGAGCTGCCGGGGACCCTGGGGCACCACGCCAGAATGCGACTCACCCTGTTTTATATGTCACCGAGTGCCTTTAAAACATGGTTCTGTGACTTGCCTATACGCTACATGAAGTCCAGCAAAAATCCGCAATCGTTTTCAGCCCGGGAACAACGTTATGAGCGGTTTTCCTCCCTGTTTTTTTAAGTTCTGATGGTGTTGTGTCTGGTGAGGTTGTTAACATGCCTGGGATTTCCGTCTCCCCCTTTTTTTCTCAGGGGGTCCCCTGTAAATATGTACAGCGGCCGCGCAGCCCCGGCGACATCTCCTCTGCATTCTCATGTGCTGACTTGTACAATGATCTTTTCAAAGGTACTTGGATAAAATGAAATAAAACCCCACGTCCCACCGCCTGCTGCTTTCTTCCTTCCCCGCGGAGAAGGCACCCGGGCCCCCGGCAGCCTGCTGGAGTGGCCGGAGGATGGGGCAGGTCAGGCAAAGGGCCTGGGCACATGGTGGGGCTGGGGCAGCTGTGGGCTGCCTGGAGGGGTGGCCGGGCAGGTCCTGGCCCCAGGCGACCAACATGTTGCCCCTGGAGGAATCGCCCAGGGTCTGGGATCAGCAGGCCCAGGGGAGAGGGGATGGTGCCAGGGTTTGGAGGGGATGCTGGGGGGGTCCTAGAGGCTGCGAGCCAGGCTTAAAAGGAGCGTGTGGAGCCCCGTGTTGGGCTCTTCTTGCCTTCCCTGGCTGTGACAGCAGCTCCTGGCGCTCCCCTGGGGCTGGTACACGACTGTGGAGCCCTGCAGTGGGAGGGCTGCCTGTGAGCCACGAGGGAGAGAGCCTGGCTGGTTCCCCCATCACCTGCACCCCGGCAGCCCAGCACGAGGTCCAGCCCAGCCCCAGGGCCCTGTCCTCCACAGCATTGGCCACCCCCTGTCATCGCAGGGCTGCCACGATGAGCGCTGTGGCACACATGAGGCCGTGCTGGCTCAGCACCCCCTTCCACGGGGGCCCAGGGCCAAGCTGCCCTGCGGTAGTGGGGGCTCTGCCCATCGTCAGCCCTGCTCTGTCCCCAGGACATGTGGGTGCTCCCCAAGATGTGCATTCCGCGGTGCTGTGGAGACACAGACACAGACCAGAGCCCGCATCGTTTCCAGGTTGTTTATAGCACGCACCCGAGCGGCACAGGGCTCACAGCTCATCCCGGGATTCGGCCGTCCCAAGCAGACTGGGTTCCTCCCTGCCCGTGCTGTTCTCGGGGGTCTTGGGCACCTGGAGAAGGCAGCAGTGAGGCATAGACAGACACACAGCCCCTGCCTGTCCCTGTCCCTATCCTGCAGGATCCGTCTCCCTGCCCAGCAGAGGCTGGGGGCCACCCCGGGGTGGGTGGGTGTCTCTGGCCTTTGGGGGGGCGGGGGGGGGACAGCACTCACCACAGGCGGCTCCTCGGGCAGCGTTCCCCCATTTTCCAGGAACTTGGAGAAGGTCTCCACGTCTCGGGCGCTTTTGTACTCGACCATCTGGAGCCACGGGATGGAAGGGGGACGAGGGGTCACCCCATCTGGGTGCTGGCAGAGCCAGGGTGGCCCCATGAGTGCCCCCACCTACCTTTCTGCCCGGCCCCGCGGGGAAGTAGTGCAGGGTGGGGAAGCCTTTGATGGTGATGTTCTCCAGCTCGTTGGCCATGGCGTCCAACTCAGCGATGACGATGTCCTCGTGGTCCTTGTAGCGCTCACCCAGCTCCTCCCAGGCAGCTGCCATCGCCTGGCAGTGGGAGCACCACGGTGCATCTATGGGATGGGCACAGTGCCGGGGGATGAGCCGGGGGGCCAGGGGTCCAGGTGCGGCATCCCCCAGGTGAGGAGTTGGGGACAGGGCCGGGGGCTGAGTCCCATGGCAGAGCTCGGGAAGGGCCGCAGGCAGCCCTGGCACTTACAGAACTTGACAAAAACGTTCTTGGTCTCATCAAACGCCACCTGCTCGAAGGTCTTCCCCACCAGAACTTTAACGGGCCGTGTGTCCCAGTCTTCGGGAGGCTCCGCGCTCATCAGGTGGGGCTGTAGGGACAGCCAGGATGGCCACAGCCTGGGCTGAGCGGTGCCAGGGCCCCATAGGGCACAGTGCGGGCCAGGGCAGGGGGCCCTCAGTGTGCAGCCAGGGGTGCTCCTGTGCTGCCTTTTGAACAACCTCTGCCCCTCTGCCACCATCCCAGCTCTGTGTGTCTCCGCATCTATGGTCTTCTGCCTCCTTTCCCGTAACAATCCCCCAAATCTTCAGGCCTGGCAGCACGAGCATCAGCAAGCAGGTGGGTGGTGTTCACCACACAACTGCCATCATTAGGCTTCAGAGTTAACAGCCCACTGCTCACCACAGGGAAGCATCCTTGGTACTGGCTGGCACGGTGCCACATCCCTCACCTTCACCTTGCCATCCAGCACAGCTTGGACAAAGGTGCGTATGGCTGTGTCCGAGAAGGTGTCCTGGTCCATCCGGTATTTGCGGTTGTTCTCCATCTTGACTAAGCGCAGGGTGGGGGCATCGGCAGGTGTCAGGCCAAAGAAGGGCAGGACGTCAGCGCCATACCCGGTCACATCCACCACCACGAAGAGCACCTGGGCAGGAGATGGTGACACTGAGGCTGGGGTGCCCCACAGACACCCCCCCCCCCCACCCCCCCAGTGGGACCTCCTCACCTTGCCTCGGAAGGTGCCAGCGGCCACCCGAAAGCCATCCCGCAGCGTCAGCTGCGCTGATGACGACTTGTTGAGGAAGAGCAGCATGTGGTGGGGGATCTTGGCACTGAAGATCTGGTCGGAGGTCTGAAGAGGAGGAGGAGGGTGGGGGGGGGTGGGCCATGGCCCTTGTGGGTACAGGGATGGGGACAGGCCGTACCTCATTGGAGAATTCCATCACCAGCTCCAGGCTGTGGACACGAAGCAGCTGGGTGAGCTCAGCTGTGTCCAGCCCCCGCACCGGGTCCACGGGGAAGTCTGTCCGTCCCTCATCGAACTGCCAGGGTGGGGGTCCATGAGGGCTGGGGGGGTCCCACGATGGCCCCCCCCCCAAACCCCTGCCACACCCTTACCTTCTTGAAGAGGCAGACGGTGTCAGCTGACAGCCCGTATGCCTGGAAGAGCTCAGCCGCCTCGGCCACACCGAATGGCACGTCCACCATCTCGCCAGCCACCTCGTAAAATGCCTGGGCTGCCTCGCCCCCCAGGTCCTGCGCAGCCACCCCATGAGCAGCCATGGTCACGGCCACGGCCCCGAACTGGCCCCCGCCCACCCCAGCCCACCTTGAAGAAGCCGACGACCACCAAGTCCTGGGAGCTGATGAAGGCGGCGGCAGCATCGGCGTCCTGCAGCAGCGTGGCACTGGGGCCGGCCCGACGCCGCATCCAGCGCACGATGCCCTTGGCATCCATTTGGCCTGCCACGCGGAGCGGGGCCCCCACCGTCACCCTGGCCACCCCTCAGTGGGCTGCCGCTCTCCCCCCGTTGCACCCCACCATGTGCCATCAGCCCCCACCTACCATCACCCCATGCACCATCGCCACGCTGTCACCCACCCACCATCACCACCCTGCAACTCCCCCCATCAGGGCATCGCCAGCCTTCTCACCATCACCCCCTGCCACCCATCCTTGCGCCCCAGCACCCATCGTGGCATCGCCCACGACGGAAGCCATGGCCATCACGCTGTGCCGCAGCCCTACCGGTGTAGGCGAGGGGGTGGGTGCGGTTGCCATCACGGAAGAGCTTGAGCGTGGGGTAGGAGGTGATGCCAAACTCATTGGCCAGGGCTGCCTGTGCCGTGGCATCCACCTTGCCCAGCCGTGCCAGGCTAGACTCGTTCCTCCGTGTGGCAGGGGCCCGGGGGA